GTCATAACGTTACAGGTTTCTATTGATTTAATTTCAATTTCAAACTGTCAATTTAATCAAAAAAACAGGTTCCTGTATGTATCATAGGAAATTACCATAGATGTTGATAGAGGGCAGCACTTTCAACTAGAAAAAATAATTTGAGCTCAGATTTCAAACTTATTTTTTATTTTCTACTATAGCAGTAGTAAAAAAAATTCTATATATTCCACGGTAGAGAAAGTCATTATATACCTTACGCAATTCTATATATTCCACGGTAGAGAAAGTCATTATATACCTTCGGTATATAATGACCAACTTCTCTACCTAGGTATATAATGTACTATTATGTTACTCAATTCAGGTTGAAAATAAACGTACAAAATTGAGTGAACCCAGTAGCAAGGGTTTTTCAATTTTTTGACAAACGGGGGAAAACGTGCAAATTAATACAACATTCAACTCCCAGAGTAATGTGTAAAATTAAAAATAAGGTGTGCAAAATTAGCCGAAGCGAGTAGCATAAGAATTTTTCAAGTTTCAGATAAACGGGGAAAAAAGTGCATATTTATCACACCTCATAACTTTTCCCAGAAGAGTGTGCAAAATTTGAAAATAGGTGTGCAAAATTGTCCAAAAATAAGATGAAACGAGTAGCATAGGGGTCTATCAATTTTTTTAAAAAGGGGTAGGGTTATGCAAATTTTTGATACGATATAACTTTCCCTAGAAAAGTGTGCAAATTTTGAAAATCGGTGTGCAAAATTATGGGTTATTTATTTTTGAAATTTGTCTATTTGTCGAAAAAAGCAAATTTTCAAAGACGGGGGTAGTCCTGACAACCTGTTCACCTCTCGACCTGTCATATTTTGACAGCTGTCAAAAATTACATTTGACAGCTGTTGAGTATTCCAAATTGTATTATCATCCGAACTTAAACTGTATGCAAAATTTCAGCAAAATCTATTGCGAAAAAATGGTTCACAAATCTGCATCTGTTACATTTGACAGTTAACACCTGTCATCGTCATCAGGGGTCTAAAATGTATTATCATCCGAACTTGAAGTGTATGCAAAATTTCAGCAAAATCCGTTGCGAAATAATGGTTCAAAAATCTGCACCTGTAACATTTGACAGTTGACACCTGTCATTAGTGATCTAAAATGTATTATCATCTAATCACCTGAACTTGAAGTGTATGCTAAATTTCAGCAAAATCCGTTGTGAAGATATGGTTCAATCTGCAACTGTCTCAATTTGACAGTTGACACCTGTCATTAGCACTCTAAAACCTTCTTATTATTATTGCCTTTCATATTAAACATTAAACTGGTTTGAGGCACATCGATTGGATAGTTTCAAAGTCTATAACGGACATAGGTAGACACACAGACAGACAGACAGAAACAATTTTTGTGTTTTATTCCTCTATTTATTAGTAACAGAAAATTACTACCCACAAAAATACATAATTATTTACCTATTTATTATTTTTTTTAAATTATAAAATATTCCTATTCTATGGTAGGTATATGTATAATAAGTACCGATATAAAACACAGACATTTAATTTGTTATACAAAAGACAACTTGGCAACGTAGCCTAGCAAATACGCGTGCATTTAGTGCCTCAAATTAATTTAATCGCAGAAACGACTGATTTTACTAGGACACTAGCGCCATCACGCAGGTTTATATTTTCGCCGCCGGACGGTTCTTCTAGAGACGTTAGTCTATAATATTCTTTGACCGGAGTCACGTGGAAAGGGTTTATGCATAGTACCACCGTAAAGTAAAGGTTTGGACACACATGACCGCACCGTATCCGTACCGTGTTCCTACCGAGACACGGCCGTGTCTCGCTGATGAATTGTACCGTATTTTCTTATGTCGTAGTCTTCACATCTACGCACCGCGCCCGCGCCGTGCCCGAGTGGCGCCATCGCACCGCGTTCGTACCGTGCGAGATAGGTTTGGTTTATTTTTTCACGGGCACGGTGCGTTGCAGGACGGACTCTCAGTATTTTTTCAGTACAAAAAGAGAAACTGGCCCAAATTTTTCGTCGTTTTGGCCTATTTCTCTAATTTTCTGCAACGTCCAACGCAATAGCTGCGCCTATTGCTGACGTCAGCGTCAGAAAACGGGTGTACGTCACACCTGAACCAATGACGACGGTTACGTTGTCAGTTGTGCGTGGCGTACTATCCTAACAAACCGTACCTTGTTTACTTCATTACAAAATGTAACTTAGAATAGTTTTAAATTTTAATTGAAAAAATTATGCAATAAACGAAATATACTACCGAAGACTTATAAATACAGGGTGTTAATTAATAGTGGGATCAAACTTCTAGGGTAAATAGTACTCATAAAATTAAGGAAAAGTTGATAGAAACATAGGTCAGCAAATGCTTAGTTTTCGAGATACAGGGTGTCAAAAGTTTGAAAAATTCGGTTTTTTAAAATCCGTTTTTCGAATTTCTTTGAACTTGGCATATTTGTTTGTAATATTAACAAAAGTTATCTTTTGATTCAATTAGATTTACCGTAATTATTCCAGTGGCACCCCAGAGGACAACTACGTTGGTAAAAGTACAAAAAAATGGCATGTCACTATATTTTTATAACTCTGATATTTTTGCGGATTAAGTCATATTACAGTCATAACCCAAAAGATACCTTTTGTTATCACAGACAAACCCGCCAAATTTGAAAAAGAAAATTGGAAAAGGGATTTTTGAGCTGAAATGCCTATTTTATTTTAAACTTTGACACTGTATCTTGAAAACTAAGCATTCGCGAACCCATGTTTTCATTTACTTTTTTCTTATTCTAATGAGTAGGTACCTACTATTTATCCTAGAAGGTTGATCCCACTATTTATTAACACCTTGTATATGCGATTAAGATGCTCCCGCCTATTAATGCGCGGGTAAAAAAAATTTAAACGCGTTAAAAAAAACACTAGTTTTATAAAACTTGAGAATTTTCATGCTTTATAAACTTTCAATATTACTTTACTACCAAAGACTTATAGAAATTTGCGATATTTTTTTCCATTTTTTATGATTTTTATAAATTTTCATGATTTTTGTGATTTTTTTTTAAATTTCGTGATTTTTATAATTTTCCCGATCACCTTAATTTCTATGGTTTATTCGAATTTTTGTGAAATTTTGTATTTTTCTTAAATTATTATTATTTTTGTAAATTTTTATATTTTATGTGATTTTTGTAATTTTCTTGATTTTCTTAATTTTCATAATTTTTTCACATTTTTGTAATCTTTTGTAATTTTTTTAAATTTTCTTGATTTTTAATTTTCATTAAATTTTCATGATTTTTGTGATTTTCTTAATTTTCCTGATTTTCTTAATTTCCATGGTTTTTTTTTTTTGAATTCTTGTAATCTTTTGCAATTTTCTTAAATTTTTATGATTTTTGTAAATTTTCATTGATTCTTATAAATTTTTTATGATTTTTTTGTGAATTTTTATATTTACAAATTTTCATGATTTTTATGATTTGTGATTTTTTAAATTTTACTGATTTCCTTAATTTCTATGGTTTTTTCTAGTTTTTGTAAAATTTTGTATTTTTCTTAAATTTCCATGATTTTTGTGATTTTTATTTATTATGATTTTCGTGTTTTTTGTAATTGTCTTGATTTTCTTAATTCTATGATTTTTTCGAATTTTTATAAATTTTTGTAATTTTCTTCAATTTCTATGATTTTTGGAAATTTTCAAAATTTTCGTAATTTTTGTAATTTTTATAATTTCGTAATTTCCGTACATTTCCTAATTTTCTGGATTTCTATGATTTTTTCGAATTTCTGTTATTTTTTGCATTCACATTCACAAAAATTTGAAATTTCCTCACTTTAAAAAAAAAAAAAATGAAATTTCCTCACTTTTTTGAATTTTCTCATTTTCCCCAAAAAAGTTTGGAATTTCCTCACTTTTGTCAGAAAATTAGAAATTCTATGTAAAATCGATTTCAATATGGATTTTTAATCGATCGCGATTTTTTTTGTCGATATTGATTTTAATTTTTTTCTTATCAATATGTACCGGTTTTCGTCATTATGTTTTTTATCGATATCTGTTTTCAATCGATACCGATATTTATTTTTTAATCGATATGGATTTTTTTATTAATATCAATTTTTTATCGGTATCGATATTTTTTCGATATCGCTTTTTTTTATTGTTATCGATTTCGAAATTATTATATTTTTTGCAATTTTCGTAAAATTTGATCGATTTTTATTTTTTTTATCGATACCAGTTTTTTTCATTTTTTTTTATCAATTTTTTTAACGATATCGATTTTTTATCGATATTGATATTTCTTTCATCGATATCCATATTTTTTTATTGATAATGGAATAATGAATGTTAATGAAATTTCGGAAAATTTGATGAAATTTTTGAGAAATTTTACTAGAATTCTGAAAAAAATCCATAAAATTACACAAAATTTCCATGAAATTCCACAAAATTTGACTATAAAATTTCATTGATATTTTTTCGAATTTTACCTTGGAATTACATTATTACATTGACGAGAATTGCTCGGAATTCCACTAAAATTTTATAAAAACTACCGGAATTTCACAAAAATTGAAAAAAAAAAATAATAAAAAAATTCGAAAAAAATTATAAAAAATCAAAAAATCATAAAAATGTACGGAAATCAAAAAATATCAAAATTTATATAAATTTATGAGAAAGAATTTTCTTGAGATAACTATGAAATGTCCCCATAAATTGACCTTGAAACGATGTCAAAATAACCTTGAAATGACCAAAAAATGACCATTGAATTAAAACCCTGAAATAATCATGAATTGACTTTGAAATAGCCTTGAAAAATCAATAAAAAATAACCTTGAAATCCCTTTGAAACAACCTTGAAATGACCTAAAAACGACTTTTAAAAAACATTGAAATGACCTTAAATTGACCTAAAAATGACCTTTAAATGACCATAAAAAAAAAAACTTTTTTTTTTCAAAAATCTTTATTGATTTCTGAGCCTAATTCCACTAAAGTCAATATTTTTTTTTTTGTCGATTCAAATCGCCATTTTCTCGATTTCTCCCTTGATCGAAGCGATGACATCGATTGCCGGATCGACCGAATCGATCCGCGACGAAATTCTCGAATTTTCACCGGCGGTTGAAATTCGCGGGGCGGCGCTTAGGGGGCGGGTTAGAGGAGAGGGGGCGGTACTGCTCCAGGCGCAGCTCGGTCCAGCTTCAGGCTTTTTCGCACCAGCGGTTTTCGGGCGCTGAGCGCCGCGGTCAACTATCAACCTAAAAAAGTGTCAAAAATATAAATACAATTTTTTTTTTTGGTTGTATCGATATTTTTATCAAAAATCGATGATTTTTCTGCTTTTTTTTTCGCTACAGTATTTTCAGAATGTCGATAATAATATGGTTTTTAAGATTGTGTCGATATTTTAAGTACAGATATCGATATATCGAATCGATACTTTTTTGTATTTTTCCAATACAATATTTTGGAAATATCGATACGCTTTTTAAGTATGTATCGATACTTTGAACACAGATGTCGATATATCGAATAGATGCATATTTTTTTTCTTACCTGTTTTCATTGGCCGAGTGGCTCTTGACCTCGATCGCTATTGGCCGGCTCAGGTCCGGACTGGCCCTTCTGCTATTACCGAAAAGGCTGAAAGTATCGTCGAGCAAATCGTGAAAGCGCTTGCGCATTTTTGATACGTTGTTTGTTGACTTCAATTCATCTACACTCGTACCTGAAAATAGAAAAAAGTGTAAATTATTGTAGATGAATAGAAATGTAGACTGTAGATGAGTAACAGTGTAGATGATTACTATAGATGAATGAGTAACAATATAGATTGTAGATGATTGGAATTTTCCTTACCGTGTCTTAATCTTTCGCAATGCACGTTCCAGACGATCGGACCGATCACTCCGGGATCTTCTACAGTTCCGACGCTGCCGTGCCTCACCAGTCGTCTGCTGTAGATTTCCGCGTCCTCGTGATCCAGGTGAGTCACGCTCACCGGCTCGAGGACTCTGGCCAAAGGTTCGGGCATGGCCGTTCTGAAAAAATTGACTTATTACGTCATGGATTACAATGAAATTTGATACATTATGTTTTAGATTACAATGAAATATGACTTATTACATTTCGAATTACAATAAAATTTGACTTATAAGAAATTTTACCTATTATATCTAAAATATAATGAAATTTGACACCATTATATCCAACACTGCAACGAAATTTGACTCATTACATCCAAAATATGTACTATAAAATTTGATTCATTACATTTTGAATTACAATAAAATCCAATGATTTTTTGAAATTTTTGCAATTGTATTTAATTTAGTACAACTCCAAAATCGATTGAAAAACGTTTAAAATTGTACTAAAAATAGTACAATATCAAAATCCGTTAAAATCTTGAAATGTTTACAATTGTACTGAAACTAGTACAATTCCGAAAACTTTTGTAACAAGTTCGCAATTGTACTAGAACTGGTGCGATTCTGAAATCTAGTGATTTTTTGAAATTTTCACAGTTGTACTTAATTTAGTACAATACCAAAATCGATTGAAAACGCTTCAAATTGTATGAAAAATAGTACAATATCAAAATCCGTTGATATCTTGAATAATTACAATTGTACTAGAACTAGTACAATTCCGAAAACGCTTGTAACAAATTCACAATTGTACTAAAACTAGTACAGTTCTAAAATCTAGTGAACATTTGAAATTTTTGCAATTATACTAAAACTAGTATAATTCCAAAATCGATTGAAAAACGATTAAAATTGTACGAAAAATAGTACAATATCAAAATCGGTTGAAATCTTGAAATTTTGACAATTATATTAAAATTATTACAATTCCGAAAACGCTTGTAACAAGTTCGCAATTGTACTAGAACTGGTGTAATTCTAATCTAGTGATTTTTTGAAAATTTCGCAATTGTATTAAATTTAGTACAATTCCAAAATCTATTGAAAAACGTTTAAGATTGTATAAAAAGTAGTACAATATCAAAATTCGTTGAAATCTTGAAAATTTCCAAAAACTACAAAAATCATAAAAATTTGAAATATCACAAAAATGAAATGCACAAAAATTAGGAAAATTTTGGAAAATCAGGAAAATCATAAAATTTTCTAAAATTCATAAAAATTTCCAAAAATTGCAAAAATTTTCAAAAATCACAAAAGTCATAAAAATTTACAAAAATCACAAAAAACATAAAAGATTACAAAAATCATGAGATATTACAAAAATTTCTAAAATTCATAAAAATCATACAAATTTCTAAAAATAATAAACATCTTCAAAAATCACAAAAATTTCCAAAAAACATGAAAATTTTCTTGAAATTCAAAATTTCAATCCAATTTTTTTCAAATTTCAATCTGATTCCTCAGAAAAAAAAAATTTCTACTACCGTGCGTAAAGTACTCACTTTACGCACTATTCAGAAGACGTAAAATTTCAGTTCACGCACTAGTGTGTAAAGTAATTCACTTCACACACTAGTGCGTAAAGTAATATCAATGACAGATGTCGACATTTTTCTGGTAAATTACTTCACGCACTAGTGCGTAAAGTGAAAATTCTTCACGCACCAGTGCGTAAAGTATTTGTCTAAATTTATTTTTTTACACATATTTGATTGGTAGTAGAGAAAATTTTGTATGCTCGCCTTCGGCTCGTGCGTCAAAATTCACATTCATGAAAAAAGGTTCACTTTACACACTTGTTGCATAAATAACTATTTTTTGATTTTTTTCAAATTTGAAACCGACGACTTTTTTTTTCCAACTTTTTTTCATTTTTTCACCAATATGATTTCAGTCAATTGTTTTGTTTTTTTTTTTTTTAATTTTTCGACTTTTTTGGGAAATTTTTTTCCAAATTTCACTTTAAAAATGAAAAAAATTTGTGCATTTCGTGATTTTTAAAAATTTCCATGATTTTTGTGATTTTTGTAAATTTTTATGATTTTCGTGATTTTTGTAAATTTTTATATTTTATGCATTTCGTCGTAATTAAAAATTTTCATGATTTTTGGTAATTTCCATGATTTTTGTGATTTTTGCAAGTTTTTAAAGATTTTAATAAAAAAAATTTTAAATTTTTTATTAATTTCAGAAATCTATATGATTTTTATGAATTTTTGTAATTTTTCATGATTTTTGTTAATTTTTATGATTTTTGTGATTTTTGAAAATTTTTATGAATTTTGGAAATTTATATGATATTTAATATGGATTTTTGTAATTTTTCATTTTTGTTGATTTTTATGATTTTTGTGATTTTTGAAAATTTTTATGAATTTTAGAAATTTTTATAATTTTCGTGATTTTTAAAATTTTTGATTTGAAAAATTGTTCGAAATTTTTATGATTTTTGAAATTTTTTCCAGATTTTCGAAATTTTTCATCGTTTGTAATTTTTCAAATTTTTATGATTTTTGTAGTTTTTTGGAAATTTTTGTGATTTTTGAAGATTTTAATGGTTTTTGAAAATTTTTGACATTTTCAAATTTTTTTATGATTTTTGTGATTTTTGGAAATTTTTGTAATTGTAAATTTTTATGATTTTTGAATTTTTGAGATTTTCGAAAATTCATGATTTTTGGTAATTTCCATGGTTTTTGTGATTTTTGTAATTTTTTGAGGATTTTTATAATTTTTTTTCGAAAATTTTGGATATTTATATGATTTTTAGAAATTTTTGTTTTTTCTGAAAATTTTTATAATTTTTGAAAATTTTTGAAATTTTTGAAAATTTTTGATATTTTTGGAAATTTTTATGATTTTCATGATTTTCTAAAACTTTCATGATTTTGTGCGTTTTAATGATTTTTGTGATTTTTCAAATTTTTGAAGATTTTTATGATTTTTGAAGATTTTTAGGATTTTTTTTTTTTAAATTTTTTTATGAATTTTGAAAATTTGTATGATTTTCATGAATTTTAGAAATTTTGTTATGAGTCAAATTTCATTGGATTTTGGATGTAATTAATCAAATTTCATTACAATAAGTAAACTTTTGTTTTTTTCTGGATATAATGAGTCAAATTTCATTGTAAATTTAAAATGTTGAGTTATTTTTCATTGTGAATAGGATGCAATGAGCCGGATTTTATTATATTTCAAATGTAATGAGTCAAATTTCATTGTAATTTAAAATGTAATGAGCCACATTTGATATTAATCCAAATCATTTTTCATTTTAGTTAAGCTGTAATGAGTCAGATTTCATTGCAATGGATCAGATTTCATTGGTTTTTTTTTTATGTAATGAATCAAGTTTCATTGTATTTTAGATGTATTGAGTCAAATTTTGTTGCAGTGAGTCAGATTTCATTGAAATCCAAAATGTTCTGGTCAAATTTCATTGGATTCTAGATGTAATGAATCAAATTTCAATACAATGAGGCAAATTGCGTTTTCTTCTGCATGTAATTAGTTAAATTCCATTGTAATCCAATTTATAATGAGTTAAATTTCATTGTAATCCAATTCGTTGCGAGTCAGATTTCGTTATATTTTGAATTTTTCATGATTTTTGTAAATTTTTATGATTTTCGTAATTTTCCAAAATTTTCCTGAGTTTTGTGCATTTTTATGATTTTTGAATATTTTTCAGATTTTCAGGATTTTTTATAATTTTTGTGATTTTTGGAATTTTTTATGAATTTTAAATTTTTTTAAAATAATTTCGTGATTTTCCAAAATTCTCATGACTTTGTGCGTTTTTATGATTTTTGTAATTTTTCAAATTTTTGTTTTTGAAAATTTTTGTGATGGTTAAAAATTTTTATGATTTATGAAAATTTTTGACATTTACGAAAATTTTTATGGTTTTTGTAATTTTTGAAAATTTTGTGTTATTTTTGTAATTTTTTTTAATTTTTGAAATTTCTTATGATTTCTGAAAATTTTCATGTTTTTTGGGAATTTTTGTGATTTTTGAAGATGTTTTGGAAATTTGTATAATTTTTATTAGAAATTTTTGTATTTTCTCATGTTTTTTGTAATCTTTTATGATTTTTGTAAATTTTTATGAATTTTAGAAATTTTTATGATTTCCGTGATTTTCCAAAATTTTCCTAATTTTTGTGCATTTCATTTTTGTGATATTTCAAATTTTTATGATTTTTGTAGTTTTTGGAAATTTTTTACTATTTTTGTTGTTTTTCAAAATTTTTTCTTTGAAATTTTTGAAGATTTTTATGATTTTTGAAAATTTTTGACATTTTCGTAAATTTTTATGATTTTTGTGATTTTTGGAAATTTTTATTATTTTTGAAAGATTGAAATTGTACTAGTTTAAGTACAATTACGAAAATTTCAAAAAATCACTAGATTTTAGAATTGCACCAGTTCTAGTACAATTGCGAACTTGTTATAAGCGTTTTCAGAATTGTAATAATTTTAGTATAATTGTCAAAATTTCAAGGTTTTAACCGATTTTGATGTACTATTTTTCATACAATTTTAATCGCTTTTCAATCGATTTTGGAATTATACTAGTTTTAGTACAATTGCAAAAATTTCAAAAATTCACTAGATTTTAGAATTGTACTAGTGTTAGTACAATTGGGAATTTGTAACAAGCGTTTTCGGAATTGTACTAGTTCTAGTACAATTGTAAACGTTCAAGATATCAACGGATTTTGATATTGTACTATTTTTCATATAATTTGAAGCATTTTTCAATCGATTTTGGAATTGTACTAAGTTTAGTACAAATGTGAAAATTTCAATAAATCACTAAATTTCAGAATCGCATCAATTTGGAAATTTTTTTGGATTTTCACAACTTTTTCATTTTTTTTTTTTTCACCTTTTTTGCATTTTTTCATCTTTTTTGAATTTAGTTAACTTGTTTTCTTTTTAGATTTTTTTCAAATTTCGAATGTACGAAAAATAGTACAATATCAAAATTTGTTCAAAATCTTGGAATTTTTACAATTTTACTAAAACTAGTACAATTCCGAAAACGCTTGTAACAAGTTCGCAATTATACTAGAACTAGTACAATTCTAAAACCTAAT